CAGACCCACACACTCTCAAACACACACACACACACACACACACACACACACACACACACACACACACACACACACACACACACACACACACTTCACTTTTTAGCTGCTGCTGAGAAGGGGGGAATAATGGGAAAACGCAAATTGTTATGTTATGGAAGATTAAAAGGAACAGATGTACAATTTTATGTTTTACATTTTGCTTACGGCCCGTCCACACAGCGGCGTGCGTTGACGCTTCACCATTCACTTTGAATGGGGTGACGTCACTTTTCGCTGCATTGTGGGAAGCGACGCGGAGCTTTGCTGGCGTGGCTTGCTGCAAAAGTTGAGCAATGTTCAACTTTTGAAGCCTCGGTAGAAGCATCAGCCAATCGAATCATATGCCAGTACAAGCTCTAACCAATCAAACCGCTTCTTGTGCGTCAGGGGCGGGAGATTCATGTGATTGGTTGTTGGTCGAGTTTCAGACAAGCCCGCCGGCAAGCGTCAACGCACGCCGCCGTGTGGACGGGCCGTTAGAGTTTAACTTAATAATAAAGTATTTTCTCATCTAAAGGTTGTGCCTGTGTGAAATTGTTCAAACCGGTTTGATATTAAACAAACTATTTGGCAAGAACCTATAACAATGAAAATGCGGGTTCAGCCGGTTTCCATAAAACAAACCGGCAAAAACAGAAATAAGACCATGTTGGCACGCATACTTCAAATGTATGAGTTGAGATCTAACAAAATGCAGCATGTTTTAAGTAAAAGATAATGTACAGCGAGTCGGTCATTAATGATAAAAGAACACCAACAGGGTGAGCCGGATACCGAAGCTTTCCTTCTCGTCAGTCTTTCTCTTTACTGGAGACAATTTAGCCATCAAATATCCAAAGTGTTCTCCACAAAAATATAAAAAATAAATATTCAAATGTATTCCTGGGTGTTTTCTCACGAAGCAAATAACGTTTTTTGTTAAATTGACCGGACTTCTGTCTGCGGATTAATATGACTGTACTTAGTCCCTTGATTCTCCTTAGTAACGGTCTGTTCTCCTTAGCAACGGTGTGTTCTCCTTAGCAACAGTCTGTTCTCCTTAGCAGCGGTCTGTTACCGAAAAATAGCAAAGCTCTTAAATGTCCAAATCATAATCAAGTATTCCACTAAGCCGTGTTATAATGGAAATGAATACATTTTCATGAATTCTTAGGGTGTATATTTCTTAATACAAATCTTTATTCCTCATCTTCCTCCAGGTGTTGATCCTCCTCTACCTGGCAGACTGGATGGTTCACTGGATGTGGGGCCGAGGCATGGACCCCGACAACTTCTCCATCCCCTACCTGACGGCCCTGGGGGATCTGCTGGGGACCGGCTTCCTCGCGCTCTGTTTTCACATGCGATGGTTTATAGGGGATAAAGACTCGAGCTTGGGGAACTGAATGCATGCACGGACACAAGCTCAACAAAGAAAATCCGGATCCTCGCGACGCGCCACGCTCGGACAGCGCTGAACGCTACCAGTCTGTGTGGAAGCGGACATTTCCGACTCTGAAAGGGCTTTTCTCCGATTGATGGGGTAGCGCTCGTAGGGCAGTAGTGTTTCATCTTCAGGATATCTGCAGCACAGCAGACAGAATCTGTGTTTCACTTCAGAAACACACTTCTCCACCTCAACCATTGAACACAACTCTATAAACTACACTGCTCCTTCTAAATCTTAATAACTGAGTCTTACTACTTTTGTTCTTATTTTACCGTTGACAATGATTGTTATCGTTTGCTATGAATCGACATGTGCAGGGCCAGTCCTCATTATTTTCAATGGGGACGTTAGCCCCTCCTGTTTTTAAAGATCAAGTTTTAAAACCAAGACAGCAAAAAATATATGTCCAAACAAGCCTTGAATGCTTAATCACCAAGTGCTTTGTCATATGTATTTTATTAATTTAATATGTGTCTAATTTCTGATTTAGTCAAGTACCATAGGCTCTCTTTTACCCTGGCCTCGTGACAGTAGGAAAGAGGATTGGGTTTTTTTTATAGTAGGATAATGGACCACAAACTTAACTGACTAGATCCCTATGGCGTCCTTCCTATCGGCTGATAAACTAATTTGAATCAAATCTAATTTGAGACGTCATTCGCATAACAACGACTGCTAGAACACAAAATGATTTACCTGTTAGCAGTTATGAAACACCTAATCAATTTCAAAGTTTTGGTTAAATTAGGTCCATAGAGGTGCTTCCCTTTTTGGCCAAATGTACTTAAAACTGCCCAGAGTACACTTCTTCTTTGTTTGAGCAAACACACAGTAAGGGATTTGTCCGTACACCTTACACAGTAACGTTTTTGGCCTTTTGTGGATGCCAAGAGGTCAGAGAGGTTTTAATTTGCTAACAGGATAGCATCAGTTCCCCATCCTAAACTTATTGTCTAACTCTCTACTAAAACAAGCTAGTTGTTGAAGTTGCTCACGCTCGGCCTATTGTAATGACAACATGCTGCAACGCACTGGAAACAACCTGCAGAGCTAACTGTATGTCGCTGTATTCACACATAGCAGAGTGTGCTGAAGTGCCTTAGCCAGGATGTGCTAACTCAGGTTCAGCAGTCTCTCATACCGGATGAAAAGTTCAGATTTTGTATGTGAATGTTTGATATCTTTAATTTTAACAAACTATTTCAAATGCCTTTTGGGAATCAAAATTGGAGCACTGAATCTTTCCAATGAAAGACAGACCAATCTTCCTTTAGTTTGGTATTTTGTATAGGTTTTAGCTGTAGCTTTAAGATCAGTGTAGTTCTTTGAGCTGTCTGACGTTCCAGTCAAACCAGCGCTGATAAAGGCCCGGTCACACCAGCATGTTTAAATTAACAATGAAATCACATCAAGTAGTGGATTCTCTCACTACTTGACATACATATTGAGTTAAACTTAGTTGAAATTGACCAATAGCAACATTTCTGGACTGTCCTGATCATTAAGAGAAGAGATAGAGATCTTATCTAGCTAGCTAGCTATCCGATCTAGCTAACTAGCTAGCTATCTCTCCTCTGTTGACCAGAAGTTATCTAAGCTAATAGGGCTTGCTCTCAGTTAGCAAGTCTTGTTAGCTTTGAGATCTTTTATCCCCATTGTAGTAACTATTTGTAAAAATAAATGTTTTCCAATCTCGAGAACAAAATGCCTGGTGAAGTAAAAGTACAGTATAGAGAAAATAGCTATCTTGATTGATTAGCGTTAGCTTGTTTGCGGCTTGCTACTTTTGCAGCCTGCTACTTTCCCCCTCTGTCAAGAACACACACACGTAATATGCTGTGCTGGCTTGCGGTGTGACTAGTCACAGGGGTAGATTTCATTTATTTTTGTTCATGAAAAACGATAGGAACCTTTAGCTCAACGTGGACCCAAACCAATTCTCAATCTAGTGAGTCTCAGCTAACGAAATGACCACAGCAAATGTCCACTTTCCTCTTTTTCTATTAATAAGGTTAGAGTAAAATCTCTTTACACACATATCATTGAGATAACTAATAATAATCTCTTTGGTCAGGAGCCTGACCTTTAGTGACTGAATGACTGACTAAATAATGTTTAATCTAAGGGGGAAATCAGATAACCTCAGTGCCCCAACCCTTAAACACACACAGACTGTGAGTCTCAGCTGCCCTTAGTTGACTCTTTCTTTGAGGGCTCACAGATGACGAGGAGAATGAAACAGGAAGTTGTGAGCCATTTTGAGGCAAAGTCTTACGAGAAAGCTGCATGTGATTCTTGACTTTATCCACCGATTTTAAGACTTCTGTGCTGTTTCCCAGGGGCCAGCAGAAAGGGCACACAATGTGAATGTGCAAAACTTGATTATTTTATCTTTGAAAAATCTTTTGTTTTAATCTGACTGATTTTTTTTTTTACGTGTCAATTATTTTTGCATTTTTTTTTCTATTCCTTTCCTCCTTTCCCTAATCTCTTTAACTCTGTGATTATTGTTTTGTGTCATAAATCTTATCGAGCAAAAAACAACCACTGTAAAGATGAAGCGACGTCTGGTCAAAGGCACAAAGTACTGTAATCTGCAGAGCGGACACCAGAGGGCAGCGCAGGGATTCTCTTATAACTTTTCAATGTGTCTCTGTGTCCTCTGGATTCACACGTGTCCACAAGGAGTGATGTTTCTTTTGACTTATTGTAAAAGTTGCATCCTCCATCTGTTCACTGTCAGTCTGTATCCTCCACTCTCTCACTGACCAGCGTTCTGCCTCTGCGTCAATGGAAAGTTGTGAATACTTCTATAAGAGGGCAAGTAATGCTTTGTCTATTTATTTTTAGATGCACACAAAGCAAATTGTACATATTATATTTATTCTATATATAAGGTTGTTTATTTTGTCATTTCATTTGGGCTCCGTTTCTTAATGTTGATGTCACTTTTCTCTTTATTTTTCGTTTGCAAAAGGCCAGTAGAGCTTCTTGATGCTCGCCGCAGTAGAAAAGGCGGCGAGGCTAATGAATAGCACAGTGCCTAATACCAGTCTTTTCAAACACATACTGTACGCACACGCACGCGCACACGCACACACGCACACGCACACACACACACACACACACACACACACACACACACACACACACACACACACACACACACACACACACACACACACACAGGGAAAGCATACTTATATAGAATGACCTTAACCTATCAGAGCCGAGCTCAACTCAGAGTAACCAATCAGGAGCTAGGTTCGCCACAGAGTAGCGTCTCCTTAATTAGCTTTGATTAATATAAGATGTACAGTGAGTTGATTATGATGTAATGTAATAATGATGACACAGCAGTGGAGAGGAGGGCTGTTTGCAGCTTTTGTTCACAAAAAAAATTAGAAAAGGGGAAGATTTTAATCCACAAACTAGGCAGAAAAACCTGACGTGCAACAAGAAAAAAGGCACACATAATTTCTCCTTATGATTCCAGATGGTTCCCCCCATATTCAGCCTTAAAAACCCTACTGCCTTGTTCACCTTAGTGCTTCAAACCACCGAGCCCCTGGGAGCAAACATCCACATCACGATGGAGCCTTTGATTCAGACTTCAGCTCTGAGAAAAACAGTCTCATGGGGCTGAGGTCTTTGCAATTTCTGTATGTTGTTCTTGTAAAAGCCCTCTCTCTTTCTCTGAGGCTGGAGGAAGGCTCTCTCTCCCTGCAGGAATTTGTAAATTGCTGGAAATAAAGGACTATATTATTTCATACCATTCCTACGTCTTATTGTCTGTTTTTGTCAGTACACATGTTCAGAAGAAGGGATGATCCTCATGCTAAGCTAATGATCTGAGCCACATGTGGGCTTCTGTGGTCATTTGTTTGTTGAACTGTCTCTTATCAAATCAAGTTTTATTTATATAGCACATTTTTAAATGATTTTGGTCGAGCCAAAGTGCTGTACATATAATAAAAATACCCTACACTACAGTAAAGACACTTTACAGCAAATACAACAGCACGTTATGAGAAAAACGACACCCTCTCTCCTTAGACCCTCACATCGTACAAGGAAACACTTCCGGAGAAAGCTGCCCTGCCACTGATAAGAAATTAAATAAAAATGCTATGTAATAAGAAATGTGTAACATATTTAACACGAGAGATAAACTGTCATCCGAGGGCTATCTGGATGATTTGTTTTTCTTTTTTACATTTACTGAAAACCTGCGAAAAAAGGAAAGACTGCAAAAACCTTTTTTTGTTTGCTACTCTGGCATTTATCCTAAAATAAAATCCCCTTATTCACCAGAAGTTAGTATCAAATAATGACTTTTGAATATGAATATGTCCCGAGCCAACAGTAAAATACCAGATACTGTTTCATTGTAAGGCAATGCAGTGAAATATGACATTAACTTTCACCAACAATGTTTAACACAAAATGAAAAACTCTTACACTGCAAACAAATGCTTTGGATAAAACATTTAATAATTGAAATTAAATAGATACACATTATTATACAAAGAGATACAAATACAGTTAATCTTTAAATACATTGAACCAGTATAATGTGGTTAAAAAACGCAAACTGACATGTGTGCAAACAAGCCAAATATATGAGAGAGGAAGGATGTACAGTAGTGAATAATTTAAAGGTTATGCAAGTCACTTTTTACTCTTGAGTTAATAGCTTTTTTATTGCCAATGTATTATTGGATTGTAATCTAACTTAGTGCAGAACGTTCCTGTATTTATTGTTAGCCTTTTTTCCTGAGTTAGCAAAAGAATGATGTGTAATGCTAACTCCATGCTAACAGTGTTCAACCAACCCTGTCTCACGGCATTTCGTGTTATAGTCCCAAAATTAATTTAATCTATTTATTCGTGTTCACCAACACGATTATCGCATTTTTTTCGTGTCACAACGATTTTAAAAGCAATGTATTTCTATTGGTAGTATGTTTCGTGGCTGCACCACGTCTTTTTGTCCGGTCGGGTCTTGGAAGACCAGAAGCTGTGTTGTTCATAAAAACATTTTCTTACTCAATATCTTACCCTAAGCCTGACCCTATCCCTTTTTTTTCAAATTGTATAATGTCTGAGTTTCTTTTGCCGTCCGTGAGGAAAATAAATGGCTCTGTATTTTTTGTCATCTTTTTTTTGNTTTTTTTAAATCTGATTTTCCTTCTAATTTGTTATTATTTACATTGCTTTTAAAATCGTTCTGTGTGACACGAAAAAAATTCCGAAATCGTGTTGGTGAACACGAATCAATAGATTATTTTCGTGACTGTAACAGGAAATGCCGTGAGACTGTGTTGGTTCAACAGTCAGCTAGCTGTAACTTAGCTATGCAGATATATTTGGCGTTGGTTGCTTTGTAACGTTAGTTAATGAAGCAATTTACAAACAGCAAGCTAGCCAATATAGCAGACGGTTCAGCCCCTGGAGTCTGGATGAATTAGCGAACTGGAGACTATATTGTAAAATTAACTAGCTAGCTATCTATCTGTCTGTCTACGTTAGCAAGCAAGCTAACATTAGCTTACATTAGGTAGCTAAATCCAAAGTCATATTCGGACTAATGTTTCTGTGCCAGACATTCATGGAACAAATGCTCCAAATAAAATGTGCCAATAAAAACGTTATATAAATATAATTGTAATGTATTTTACAGCATTATATCAACATGATACCGGAGCAGGAGCGCCAGAACCAGTATGCTGACTTTAGTTTACTTAATAGTACCGGAGTCATATTTACAATAATATTTTTAAAGGTCACCTATTGTGCAGAATCGACTTTTTCACGTCTCTTCTACATCAACATGTGTCCCCTCTGTGTAAAGAGATTCTGAAAGTTTCAGGAAAAAAGATTCTCTCTCTTTTTGTCCTGATCCATTTCTATAAACACCTGTCTGAAAAGGAGCTGATCATATTTTGGACACTTTATGATGTCATAACGATGTTTTGGCTTGAGTAACCATTAGCCAATCACCAACCAAGTGCAGATCCCCTGTCCTCCACCAGGGGGTAGTGCAGCACCCTCAGCACCCCTACTTCCCACAGCCCTGAAGAGCCGATCGCATTCACACCGGAATAAGTTCCCTGGGGGAGGATTACGCAAATGAGCCGCTGACGTCACTTCCGTCTTCTTCTGCTTTGGGTTTACTGGCAGGCGGCAGACAGCTTCACGGCGTATACTGCCACCCGAAGTCCCCGGCCCGAAGTACCCGGAGTTTGGGACTGGCNTTAGCAAAAGAATGATGTGTAATGCTAACTCCATGCTAACAGTGTTCAACCAACCCTGTCTCACGGCATTTCGTGTTATTCGTATTTGTTGTCATCTTTTGTTCCTTCTAATTTGTTATTATTTTGTACAGGCATGAAACATACTACCAATAGAAATACATTGCTTCTAAAATCGTTCTGTGTCAGAATACTGAAATCTCTTTTTTTAAATCTGATTTTCCT